GTTGACTGATTCATTAGAGAACATCTTCGATAACATGATTTTCTTTTTAGAAACACCAGTCCAACAATAGTCTTTTCTGCGGAAAACTAATTTTTTTTCCTGTTGGAAACTACTTTCTATTGACAACTTGCTCGATAACAAATTTTTCTGTAGATATATTCTCTACAAAATTACTTATAATTCGACTATGGTTTGGTAAAATGTTTCGTACGTCCCTACTACCCAACTAGTATTTTTTATGAATTTTTTACTACGATAACCGATTTTAACTATACAAAATCGAAAAAAAATTGAAAAACTTGAAGATTCTTGCAGGTTCTGGACAACTTAGACAACTTATTAATTTAAATATTCTTTACGGTTTTGGGCGCCATTTCCATCACAATTAAATATTTGTCTAATTCTAAATTTCTATTTTTTCCCCATTGTATTAAAATCTTAACTATGACCCCATCCAATAAACGTTTGCATTCAAATATGCTTTTCGCATGTTTAACCACGTCATTAATGGTCAATGTTTACGACCAACAGTTTGTTGCCAAAAAAATAAAATTATATATTTTGATTGTGGCTAAAACACACATTTCAATGTGCTCGAGAAATAGCATCGCCTGCATTAGTTTAACAAATTGAAAATAAAATTAAACAGAGACGCAGGCACACACACACAGACACTCAATCAATTTCGTCCATTTGCCAGAGAACAATAATCAAAAGTTTTGATTTCACAGTTCGTTGATGGTTATCATTTTGTGTTTTTTTTTTGATGTGGATGGATGTAAACAAAGAATTTCATTCATGTCTTTTTGTGTTGTGAAAATATTTGGGGTATGTTTGTGTCCGTGTGTGTGGCGGTTCGTTTATCATATAGATTTTCATTGTCACAACATTGCCGATATTTATAAATAGCTGTCAGCCAGAATCCATATTTACTTTGACAAGTAGTTTTCGTTTATCTTTTTTGCAAATTGTTAGGCACTTGTCGAGGCAATTATAACAAAATACTGTTCTACTCTGATCTGAATTGGGCTCCCAATTAGATTTCGTTAAGGTGAGAGTACATAAAAGGCTTTTTTGACGGGCTGGCATCTTCGGAAAATAACAAAGGAACGTAAGACCAAAATCGACCTAAGTCAACCTAAAACTCCATTGTTATTCTACGACGAAGTCAGCCAATGACTTAAGCCAGACAAAAATGCGTTCTATGTATTCTCATCCTTACAGTACCCAAGAAGATCGTACTTTTTTCGAATTGCATTCATCCTTCATTGTCAATTTTATTAACCAAAATGTCTCTCTATATTTTTAACCAAAACCTTTTGTTGTTGTTGTAAGGCAAAACAGTACTAATTCCCAAAAATTTTGTTGTCTTGCTTGTCTAATTTCAGTTTTTTAACACGTTTGTTCAACTGCTCTGCATCTGTAGTAGTGTTGTTGTTTGCCATACCCGTTTATGTCCTCCTACCCTGCCAATGCACTGAAAGTCTTCCTTGTGTGATTAATTTTAAGTTTGGCTGTAATCCTTGAAATAAAATAGTTGTAAATTAAAATAAATATTTTATTTATGAAAAACGAGTTGTATATTTGTTGGTGTGTTTCAGAACTGTAAGAATTTAAAAGTTTTTACAACGATAACCGATTTTGCCTTTATGATATCGAAATAAATTTGCAAAACTAGTAGGTTCTAGCCGGTTCTGGAACAGTCTTTGTGTAATGGGTTGTTTATTTTTTATTGGAAAAATTTTGAAAAATTTCGAGGATAAGAATCAATTTTAAGGTAAAATAATTTCGATAACAAGGTTATCGGTTTGATCGATTCAATAGGGAACATATTCGATAACAGGAATGTATTTTGAGAAACCCAGACTTTCTATAGTCGATAACAATTTGATCTTCAAACAAGTAAAAAACAAATATCCTCCACCATTTTGAAGGAAGACTTAAAAAATTTCCAAAAAAATCCGTCCAATGAGGGCTATACGAAGACGTGGTGCTGCAATAGAAATATTTTTTTTTTTCATAGGCTGTGAATGCCCATTACGAACTTTAAATACGAAACTTGAAACAATTCCGGGAATAATTTCGCTAATATCATCAAAATACCGGATAAAGGGATGTGCCACTATATGTGGGCTATATATGAAGACGTGGACCTTCATAGCCCCCAGTAATGGTCATAGGTTGCGGTACTCGATACGAGTTTGAAATACTAAATTTGAAACAATTCCCCTGAATAATGTATCCAAAATCTTCAAAATACCGAATATCAAGAGGCATCGTTATATGGAGGGCCATATGAAAACGTGGACCTTCATACGCAAGTTTTTGTCATAGGCTTTAGTACCCATTACGAACTTTAAATACGAAATTTGAAATAACTCCGGTCAAAAAAATTTGATAAAATCAACAAAATACCGAATATGGTGGGGTACCGTTGAATGGGGACTATACGATATCGCAGACCTGTATGGACAATTCTCTTACAGAGGGAAAAGTACTCAGAAGGAACTTCTGGTGTGGATTTTCAGACAATTCCGTTGACAAAATTTGGCTAAAATCATGAAAATGCCGTATATCGGGAGGTACCGTTATATGGGGGATATACAATGTCGTGGACCTATATAGGCAATTCTCTTCCAGGGGTCAGAGTACTTAGAAGGAACTCCTGGTGTGGATTTTCAGACAATTCCTTTGATAAAATTTGGCTCAAATTATGAAAATACCGTATATCGGGGGAATATACGATATCGTGGACCCATATAAACTCCAGGGGGTAGAGTACTCAGAAGGAACTCCGCGTGTGGATTTTCAGTCAATTTTATTGGAAAATGTAGCAAAAATCATAAAAATATCGCATATGGGGGGCATTGTTACATGGGGCTATATGATATCGTGGACTGATATAGCCCATCTTCGAACTTGAACTACCTGCGGACAAAAATGATCTAAGCAAAATTGTAGCTTCTGTTCCAGAACCTGCAAGAATTTAATAGTTTTGCCATTTTTTTCGATTTCATAAAAGAAAAATCTTTTAGCGGAGTAAAAACAGTTCAGGAACAGAACAAGATTTTTCTAAAAATAAAAAAAAATCGATAGCAACTTTTCGATCGATAACAAGTTTATATTATTAGGGATTACGTGATCGATGGCAATCTTGTTACACCCTCAACCATATGGCTAGAGAGGGTATATATCATTTGATACGGCCAAAACGTGTCTCATCGAAATAATGGTTTTAGACCCTAGGTCTCCTTGAACCAAATCCGATAACTCTCGAAGAGAGTATCCGATCTGATTCAAACTTTGTACATAGTAATATTATTATCAAACTTACATCGAGCTCGAAGATGGGCAATATCGGTCTACATTTTCTGGTACCTCCACCAAAAATGGTCGGAATTTTCAAAACAAAAAAATGTATATATGCAGGGTGATATAAAAATAAGCAACAAAGTCAAACGCCACAATTTTTACATTTTTTTAATTTTATTGAATAAAAGCAAAACAGATCGAAAATAGCATCAAATTTTAGAATAAGTTTAGACTTGTTCAAATTGGTCACCTTTGGCAAGAATTATGGCTTCAAATGGCCAATGAAACCGTCACACACTGTCCGAATCTTGCTCTGCGGTATTTTGGCCCATTCCCGGCGAAGCGCTTGCTTGAGGTGATCGATCGACACTTTGGTATTTTTTAGTGCCAAACTTGCTTTCTAAAATACTCCAGACGCAATAGTCCAACGGATTGGTATTCGGAGATTTTGGTGGCCATTGTGCGCTGGAAATGAAGCGAAGAACCATTCTTGGGGGTCGCGTGCTGAGTGCGATCGTTCGGAGTCCTGTTGGAATGTCCAAGGTCTGCGGCCAAAATATTTTCGTGCCCAAGGTTTTAGTACAACCTTCAGAATATTTTCGCGTTTATTCTGATGCCACGGTCGATTTAAACGAGCGGAGAGCGACCATCGGCTGTTATGGCGGCTCACACCATCACCATGGCCGGCGCTTGATGTGGCCAACCGAAGGTGCAGATTTTCAGCTGACTTCTTTGGCAAGTAAACACGATCATTTTGTTTGTTTAAAAACTGCTGGACCACATATTTTTTTTCATCGGAGAAACCAAATTTGGCAGTTCACCACTTTCGGTGCAGAGAGAAGCAACTCTTTAGCTCCTTTGAGTCGATTTTCTTTCCGTTGAGGTGTAAGTTCTTGCACTTTTTGAAATTTCAATGGCTTTACCCCGAGCACATTTTTCTATATTTGCCGAATGGAATATTGCGATATGTTCAGCTCACAAGCCATTTTTCGGCCACTGCGACGAGGTCGCTTCTTTACTTTTCGAACCATTTCTGTTGATCTCGCTGTTTTCTTCCGTCCACTTCCTTGACGTCGGGCTACGCTACCAGTATCACAGTAACGAGCAATTGGTACGAGACACAAAAGATTTATTCACATCTTTTTAAATGCTGGAGGGCTCTAACGATAGCCTCTTGTGGTTTTCCAGCCAAATATAAAAAAATCACACCGTCACGCTTGAATTCCATCACGAATAACCCTATTTCTGGAAAATTCTCACGAAAATGCTTATGTGCACTTGTAAAGAATATAAAGGGCTGTTACTTGAATAATTTTAACAGCTGTCGGACGAGTGGTTTAGAAATGAAAGCATTCTGATTTTGGTTGCAGTTTTTTCATCTCATCCTGTATCTCATATAAAGTGTAGGAAATAGTCGATAATAGGTGAAATCTGGCACGTTGTAATATTTATATCAGTCTTAGGGCATATACGATTGGCCAACTGCTTCGGAACCTCCCCCATAAAGGGTCAACGGATTAAATAATTATAACTCAAGGCTGGGGGTATACATCTGTCCGCAAAACCGACTGATACTATTTTACTTCTTGAAAATGCATTTCGATAACACAATCTTCGATTGAACCAACCAAAAATTCTCCTGCCATAACCTATCAAAGAATAACAGATTTTTCCCTCTCTTTTTCTAGATGCCAAACGTTTAATTGGTCGCAAATTCGATGACATCACGGTCCAGAGTGACATGAAACACTGGCCCTTTGAGGTGGTGAGCGATGGTGGTAAGCCAAAAATCCGCGTGGAATATAAAGGCGAGAAGAAATCCTTTTTCCCTGAGGAAGTATCATCAATGGTTTTGACCAAAATGAAGGAAACTGCCGAAGCCTATATGGGTCGCACTGTAACTGATGCCGTAATAACCGTGCCAGCTTATTTCAATGACTCGCAGAGGCAGGCTACCAAGGACGCTGGTGCCATTGCCGGTTTGAATGTGTTGCGTATTATCAATGAACCTACTGCAGCGGCTATTGCCTATGGCTTGGATAAGAAGGGCACCTCGGAGCGTAATGTTTTGATTTTCGATTTGGGTGGTGGTACCTTCGATGTTTCCATTCTAACCATTGAGGATGGCATTTTTGAGGTTAAATCCACTGCGGGCGACACCCATTTGGGTGGTGAAGATTTTGACAATCGCATGGTTAATCATTTTGTGCAAGAATTTCAAAGGAAACACAAGAAAGACCTGTCCACCAACAAGAGGGCCTTGAGACGTTTGCGCACCGCTTGCGAGAGGGCCAAGCGGACTTTGTCCGCCTCCACCCAGGCCAGCATTGAAATTGATTCGCTGATGGATGGTATTGATTTTTATACCTCTATTACCCGGGCCCGTTTTGAGGAATTGAATGGTGATCTGTTCCGTGGCACCATGGAACCGGTGGCCAAGGCTTTGCGTGATGCCAAAATGGATAAGGGTCAGATACACGACATTGTTTTGGTGGGTGGTTCCACGCGTATACCCAAAGTCCAGAAGTTATTGCAGGACTTTTTCAATGGCAAAGATTTGAATAAGTCCATTAACCCCGATGAGGCTGTGGCCTATGGCGCCGCAGTGCAAGCAGCCATATTACATGGCGATAAGTCTGAGGCTGTCCAGGATCTTTTGTTGTTGGATGTAACACCACTGTCATTGGGTATTGAGACAGCCGGCGGTGTTATGACTGTTTTGATAAAACGCAACACCACCATACCCACGAAACAGACCCAGGTCTTCACCACCTACTCGGACAATCAACCTGGTGTGTTGATTCAGGTCTTTGAGGGTGAACGTGCCATGACCAAGGATAACAATATCTTGGGTAAATTTGAATTGAGTGGCATACCACCTGCTCCCAGGGGTGTGCCACAAATCGAGGTGACCTTCGATATTGATGCCAATGGCATCTTAAATGTCACTGCTGTTGAGAAGTCCACGAATAAGGAAAACAAAATCACCATCACCAATGACAAGGGCCGTTTGAGTAAAGAAGACATTGAACGCATGGTCAACGATGCCGAAGCCTATCGCCATGAGGATGAGAAGCAACGTGAACGTGTTAATGCCAAAAACTCGCTTGAATCCTATTGTTTCCAAATGAAAGCCACGCTCGATGATGAGAACGTACGTACGAAGGTATCGGATTCGGATCGTCAAATGATTATGCAGAAATGCAATGAGACCATTTCCTGGTTAGATGGCAATCAAACAGCCGAAAAGGATGAATACGAATATAAACAAAAGGAATTGGAAAAGATTTGCAATCCGATAATAACTCGTCTCTATCAGGGCGGTGCTGCACCACCACCAAATGCTGGTGGTATGCCTGGAGGAGCTGGTGCTGGGCCAGCACCTGGTGGTTCTACTGGACCTACCATTGAAGAAGTGGATTAAAATGTGGAAAATGGAAGAGGATGCGAATGGTTGCTGATGACAAAGAACTAATGTCGTTTGTGGAATTTTTTTGTTGTAAAGTTTATTTATTTTTATTTTTTGAAAACATAATTTTTATTAATAAAGTTTTTGTTTATTCAAGTGCAAAATATTGATCTTTTCCAGAACCTGCAAGAATCTAACAGTTTCGAAATTTTTTCTGATATCATAAAGATAAATCTATTATTGGTTACCTTTTTTTATTGTACCATGAGTAGTGGTGTAACTTTTTTTTCGTTAGCTACCTTGTCGGCTGCTTTCGGTAATCCGAAATTCGATAAAATTACATATATGCTATTATGTGAAAGGGACTGCCGAGAACAAAAGATTATTTATTTATTTTGTAAAATCTGCCACTCGACATACGAAAATATTTTAGATAGATTTTATTTACAAAATAACAAGGTCGAGTTCGAGTTCAGAAAAGGGTTGTCAATTGAATTTAACAAATGAGTTTACCTTTATTGTTTTGCCATTGTATTAACAAACAGCTGATCAAACATTTATTTAAAAATGTGGGCTTAATAAAAAACGAAATGATCTTCAGCGGATCCTGAAAATGTCTGGAAAAATATAGAAAATTTATAAGAATTCTATTTCTAGTGCGAAAAAAATTAATTCCATAGTCATTATAGGAAAGACAAAAATGTTTGGGAATATGATATTCCCAGATACACAACCGCCTTTTTCGAAGAAAGCTTCCGCATGACTCGTAAAAGCTTTAATATTTTTTGCCAACGCCATGGACATTTCGGCAATCTTTGCTCTGTTCCAGATCCAGCAAGAATCCACTGGTTTTGCAACTTTTTTTTTCGATATCATAGAGGAATAATCGGTTATCGTAGTAAAAAAGTTTTACATTTTTGTAGTTCTAGAACAGAGCCTATATGAGCATGGTACATTGATATCAAGGTAGGGCTATGATACCATATGATTTTAATTTTTTTATTTTCTTTTGAAAAGAGTGTTCACCTTTCATTCAGTTATCGCGGTTTTCAATTATTTATTCAAAATATATGCAACAAGTTGTTTGATTTTTTTTTATTGTTTTGATACTAATTCTGACATTACAAGCCAAACAGGTAGACCTCTATACTTGCAATTTTTTCAAAGTTGGCCTACCTTTTCTTCATTGTACCATGTATATGACCATTTTTTTCAAGCATCGTATTTTTTCAACATTTTTGTCCCACAATTTTGGAAAACTTATACAAATCTACTTATTTTTGAAGAAAAATTAAAGGAATGTTGACATATCAATGTTCCCAAGCGTTGATGCATCTACCTGTATTCTTCTACTATGGTATGTGGATTTCGCATCGGATTAAAAAAAAATTCAGTCGTGAGAAGATCTATTTTTGTATAATAATATCTAAATTTGAACCGATTCTCACCAATTCCAAATGGTTCGCCGACATAATACCCTTACCACAATGTAGTGTAGGGTATAATAAAAATATAGGAATAACATAAAAAAATTTCCGTAATATAAATTCAAAATATCTGTAGGGATTGCGTATGATTAAAAACAAGTAAAAAAGCAGTAAGCTCGGCCGGGCCGACCTTTGAATACCCTCTATCATTTGGAACGAATTATAAAAATTTAAAAAAAAAAAAAAATAAAATCCATTAAAAATTCTGTTAAAATCTTAAAAATACCGAATATCGGAATGTGCCGATATATTGGGGGGATATACGATATTGTGGATCTATATAGACAAATCTATGTCTGGGGGTAAAGTGCTCACAAAGAACACCTTGTGTAGTTTTTCAGACAATTCCGTTAAGAAATGTGGCTGAAATTATAAAAATACCCAATTCGGGGGGTAGCGTTATATGGGGGCTATACGATATCGTGGCTGGCTTCTTCGGAAATGAACAAAGGAGCCTAGGGCCAAAATCGAACTAGGTCAACCTAAAACTCCTTTGTTCATTTACGAAGAAGCCAGCCGATGACTTAAGCTAGCCAAATATGCGCTTTATGTATTTCCAGCCTTAGCTTCCTATCTTAATTCGTTTTGACTGTATAGTGATTATAACAGACGGACGGACAAGGCTAAATCATCTTAGAATTTTGCGCCGATCAAGAATATATATACTTTGTTGGGTCTAAAATGATTATTTCAATGACTTACAAACGGAATGACGAACTTAATATAACCTCCCCACTATGTATGGTGGAGTGCATAAAAATCTAAAAATCTTAACACCTGTAGCACCAAGCAGTGCCCAAGACATTTGGTAGATGGCGTGCTATGTATGTCTATTATTATAAATAGGGTTCACTGTGATCGAAACAGTACATATGGACCATGATAGAAGAATACAGTTAGTCGCATCGAAACAGCTGCTGGGACAATGAACTGTCAAACCAATTTTGGAATTGATGATATTGAATGAAAAATTATTTAAATTTGTAAAAATTGTTGAAAAATCCGAATTATAAAAACTTCCGAATGACGTCGTATATGAAAACATTTAAAAATCTACTTATATTTGAAAGAACATATCAATGCTCCCAAGCATTGATGCATTTACCTGTATTTTTCTGCTATGGCTCAGACTATCTATCAAACAGTGTCCAAGACAATTTGCAAATGGCGTGCTATGTATGTCTATTATTATAAATAGGGCTCACTGTGATCGAAAAAGTATATGTATACCATGGTAGAAGAATACAGCTGCTGGGACAATAAACTGTCAAATCGATTTTGAAATTGAAATTTTTAAATGAAAATTTTTTCATATTTCTAAAAATTGCAGAAAATGCATATCATAACAACCTCTGATTGGTGTCGTATAAGAAAAAAAATATATACTTATTTTTGAAAATACATTTTAAAAATTTTGACATATCAATGTTTCCAAGCGTTGTTCTACCACGCACTTCACAACTTATAAAAAGTAAATAATAAATCTATTTCAAATGTCAATTTCGTGGAGTATACGTTTGATAATAACCACTGGATGTACGTGAAGTATACGCTATGGTAGAAGAATACAGTTAGTTGCATCGACACAGCTGCTGGGACAATGAACTGTCAAACCAATTTTGAAATTGAAAATTTTAAATAAAAAATATTAAAAATTGTAAATGCGGTTAAAAAATGCATATCATAACAACTTTCGATTGGTGTTGTATAAGAAAACTCATAAAAATCTACCTATTTTTTAAAAAAAAATCTAGTCATATCCCAAGCGTTTATGCATCTACCTGTATTCTTCTACCATGACGTATACGCTATAGAATTGACATTTGAAAACGAGTGGATTTAGTAGTCTAAACTTACTCTAAGCATACATTAAATAAGTTTTAAAGTACGTTTACATACAAACTCTCTCCCCGTAATATCCTTGATAATTGACCAATCACAATAAATCTGACAAAATAAAACATATCTTAAATTTATTATGATTGGTTAAATGGGTAGAGATTTTGTATGTAAACGTAATTTTGTTTTGCTCATTTCATTAATGTCTGTATATACCCATATATAGCTCTTAATTTGTAATGGAATTCCATGATTGCTTCGTTTATAAATCCTCTTTTCTTCCCCCACCCCAATAAATAAAACAAATGTTCCCCGAATATTTTGTTTAAACTATTTCAACATTTTTTTTATTATTTCAAATATGTGTTTTTGTTATTATTTTCTTTCCTGCTTTCATTTTTCAATTACATTTATTTATAAGTATTGTTTTTTTTAATTTACGTTTCTTTTTATAATTATTATTGTTGTTAATATTTCACTAGAGTTTATTACAAAAAAAAAAAAAAGAAACAAACAAAAACATTAAATATCATTAACAAATATTATTGCAAACAATTAGTTTTGTTTTGTACCTAGAAACGTTACTGGGAAAAATATACAAAGGAACAAAATATTGATTTCCTTACGATATGTACTCTTACTAAAGAAAATATATATCATTGTATAGCATCAAACATATATAAGTTGGGAATCTTCTGGAAGATGACCCATATTTAATTGGAAAGTTTTGTTAAGTAGGGTTTGTAAAGAACTTTAGTTTTCTAGTTGATTTCTGAAAATCTAATATAAATTTTAAATATAAACATTTTAAATCAATACTGAGATTTCTAATTAAAAAAACAATGTAGGCAAGTTTCTTCAACATGTTGGTATTTGTTTAAGATATTAGAGTTATGGATTCGAAAAATATCACAAATTATAAACATGATTTTTTTAAGATATTTGAATGATTTCGAAAAATAAAAATCCAACTGTTATAGGACTTAAATGTGAGACTAATAGCGCGTTTTGATAACTAAACCCACTCGATTTCGAATGCAAATCTTATTCATAAATATCAACTTTTTGCCATGGTAGAAGAATACAGGTAGTCACATCGACACAGCTGCTGGGACAATGAACTGTCAAACTAATTTTGAAATTGAAAATATTGAATGAAAAATTATTGAAGTTTGTAAAAATTGTTGAAAGATACATATTATATAAACCTCCGAATTGCGTCGTATAAGACAACATATAAAAATCTACTTATTTTTGACAAAACATTTTGAAAATTTTGACATATCAATGTTCCCAAGCGTTGATGCATCTACCTATATTCTTCTACCATGGGATTTACCATGGAAAAATAAATCTTCTCATGATTTGTTTTAAATTTTTTGTTTTAAATTTTAAATTTGTTTTAAATCCGCTACGGAATCTATATAACAATGAAATGCAACACTGTTCATATTTTTTGACGGCACACTTCAAAGTCGCACTTGTTTCGGCAATGGCGTTGTAGTTGCTTAATCTTTGTTCATATTTAATATTATAAATGTTCTATTAGTTATTGTTTGGATCTTTCAGAGACTATGTGTGTTCCCACAAATTTAGTTAAATCATTTTTCATTCAGAAATTTGAATTACGAACATCTTTTCACATTTCATTGTACCTGCACCTGTATTATTTTGGCATGATTCAAATTCCAATGGTAGGAATACATAAAACGCTTTTCTGACTGGCTTAAGCCATCGGCTGACTTATTTGTAAAAAAAACAAAGGAGCGTAGAGTTACACTCGAACTAAGTCAACCTAAAACTCGTAACATAAGCAGCTTGAAGTCTAGCAATCTGTTCGAAAAATTCAACCAACAACAAAAGCTAACATTTTTAACTGCTTTCAGACAATAAAAGTACGTTTATATATATGAGGGTTAACCCACTGGATTTGGATTTAAATTGTCATATCCATTACTTTTACTTCAAATAAATCCTTTCAAAGTAGGTTAACCCTACAAAAAGTTCTAACGTAAACATGGCATAAGTGTTTTACATATGTATGTCATATGTTATGTATGTCACTTTGAATATCTATGCGTATTTCCGTGTGTATGTCAAAATTGTAATTTTACATATGACCCATAATTCTTGCTATCACACACTTTCATATGTTTTTTATCCTTTGCCTATGTTGTCATTATATTGTATTTTTTTAAAAAAAATATATAATACATTATGTATGACTTTTTAGTACAAATTTAACTTAACATAATTTAGAACAACAAAAAAAAAAAAACACTTTTGATTAGATTATATTTTTCTGATGAAAATAGGGCTCGCTATGATCGAAAAATGACACATATACTTTGCTCACGTATTTCACCTTTGAAATGTCGTCCATGTTTCATTGTCTGATAGCAGATTTAATAACGTCACTGTTCAAATAAACGATTCACTGAAATGATGCTGAACTAATTCCGTTAAAATCGTAACTTTTGTGGGTGAAACAGATCAATGCTTATAGCGCGTTTATACTATTACAGAGTAACCCATTGAATTTATTAGATCCAGTGGGTTTATCTTGTGTGTCTAGATACACTCCGTCAGTGTATAAATTGTCAGAAGATTTTTAGTTGCGAATACAAACAAAAGAGGAAAAAAATGATAAATATCGCGAAATATTTTGTGAAAATAAAAAAAAAAAACATGGAGCAAATTGATACTTTTAAGCAAGTATTTACTTATTTCCATGGTAGAAGAATACGGGTAGTTGCATCTACACAGCTGCTGGGACAATTTTTGAATTGAAAATTTTGAATGAAAAATTATTAAATTTTTTAAAAATTTTTAAAAAAACGCATATCGTAACAACCTCCGATTGGCGTTGAATAAACATTTAAAAATTTTGGACGTGTCAATGTTTCCAAGCTTCAATGTATAATCAAAGAACTGATGAAACATTTGTTTAAAATTATAGGTTAAATAAAGAAACAAAATGATCTTCAATACCTACATTTTTAAGAATTCTTTTTCTAGTGCCAAAAATTTATATAAAGAAGACAAGAAATGCTTTAGGAATATGATATTCCCAGATGCACGCGCTCCTTTTTCAAAGAAAGTTTTCCCATGACTTGTGCATGCTATAATATTTCATGCCAACCTCTTATTTTTATGGCCCATGGTAGAAGAATACAGGTAGACGCATCAACGGTACAATGAACTGTCAATCCAATATTGGAATTGAAAATTTTGAATGAAATATTATTCAAATTTATAAAAATTGATGAAAAATGCATATCACAACAACCTCCAATTGACATCGTATAAGAAAACTTATACAAATCTACTTGTATTTGACAGAACGTTTTATAATTTTTGACATATCAATGTTCCCAAGCGTTGATGCATCTACCTGTATTCTTCTACCATTTTGACAAACATGACAGAAATATTTCTTCTCCTTGTGCGTTTCTTCTTAAGTTACTACTTTTCGTATGAAAATCGACAAATAAATAAATTGTTTTATTAAAAAAAGTAAATTATTTTCTCTCACTATTTTCTTTCTACATTTTTTTTTCAAATTGGTACTTCATTTTGTTCTATTCTTCGTTGTAAACAAACGTTTTGCGAAAACAGTTTATATTTTTGTAGTGCTTTTTAAGTCAAAAGAGTAGTTGCATATCATTAGTAAAAAGAAAAGATCGTGAAAGTTAAAACCTTAAACGACGTAGTGTACGTTTAGACTACCAAATCCACTCGATTTCAAAAATCAGTCCCATAGTGTATACGCCACGCAAATTGTATTAATAAATCCTGCGGATATTTGATGTATACCATGGTAGAAGAATACAGGTAGTCGCATCGACACAGCTGCTGAAACAATGAACTGTCAAACCGATTTTGATATTGAAAATCGTGAATAAAAAATTATTGAAATTTGTAAAAATTTTTGAAAAAATACATATCATTACAACTTCCGATTTACATCGTATTAGAAAACATTTAAAAATCTACTTATTTTTGATGCTTTTTTAAGTCAAAAACATAGTTGCATATCATTAGTATGTGGATTACGTTCCGTATTTAAAATAAATCTGTTCTGAAAATACACCACTGTGTCAGCTGCAAGTGGCAACAGTATTGTATTTTCACGCCGAAGTTACGATGTAAGCTTTGATCTGCTTTAAGCTAAGAATACATAAAACTCTTTTCTGACTTCAGTCATCGGTTGGCTTCTTCGCAGAGGAACAAATGAGTTTTAGATTGACTTAGTTCGATTTTGGTCATACGCTCTTTGTTCTTTTCCGATGAAACCAGTCTATGACTTATGTCAGTCAAAAGAGCGTTTTATGTATTCTCACCTTTGCCTTTAGTTCGTTAATCAAAGGACTAGTGAGGGAAACACGCTTTTATTGAAAAAAATTGATTCCTATAGCTTTCGAAATATCATCCAAATATCATTGAAATATATGTCATTATATATTTTCTTAAAACAGAACTTGAAATAACGTCACTAACTATCGAAAACTAAAATTAAATTTATTAATTTGTTTCTTTTCATTACAGATTGGTTTTCGTTTGTTCTATAATTCAATAACTATTGAAATTGTTAGATTTATTTTTTCTAGATTTTTTATTGACTAATTGAAGAATTTGTTTTTTGTTTATTTTTATTATCCTTTTATTTGTATTGTTATGGGGGGAAGGAGACAACCAAAAATGTTGTTTGTTTTCCAAAACTTGTATAGAATACTTTATTTTGTTTTTAGGTTTTTGTTTTCTCTTTAAGTTTTTTTTTTCAATGCAGGGGTTAATGCGTATGTATGTATGCATTTAATGAGCCGTTTTAGGTTATGTTTCATTGTTAGATTGAGGTTATGTTTTGCGATTTTTTCTTATGCTTTGTTTTGGTGGTGGTTTACATTTTCACTTTGCTTTGTCATGTAATTTATTGATTCGGTTTGCATTAGATTTTTGTTTTGTTTTGTTTTTCTTTTTTTTTGTTTTTAATTGTCATTCTGTTTATTAATCTTATAGTATTTGTTTTCAAGAAGTTTCTTTTTATTTATTATTGTTTTCGGGATTTAGAAATGAAACTCTTGGAAGAGGATTATTTACTTTTTTCACTATTTTTCTCTTTTTTTTCAAATTGTTCAAAAGAAAACAACAACAAAATTACCGAATTTATGTTTTGTTTTTTTATTTTTTGTTTCTATTTGATTCGTTTGCAGTTCATTTCCTTTAGTCATAATTGTTATTTATTTTGTTTAATATTTTTTTTTGTTAATTACCTTTATTATTTGTTTGTTTTTTTATTTTCTTAATAAAAAATATGCAATTCGAATATGTTTTTTAAACCTTATTGTAAATTCAATATTAAATTCTTTACAAGTCTACACGTTGTATATAAGTTTCCTTAAAACTAAGGGTAGATGGCAATTGCCAGCGTTAAGGTGAGAATACATAAAACGCCCTTTAACTTGTCTAAGTCATCGGATGATTTCTTCGCAGAGTAAAAGTAGTTTCAGGTTGACTTAGTTCGGTTTTGACATGGTAGAAGAATATAGGTAGACGCATCGACACAGCTGCTGGGATAATGAACTGTCAAACTAATTTTGGAATCGAATATGTTGAATGAAAATTTATTTAAATTTGGAAAAACGCCAATTATAATAACCTCCGAATGACGTCGCATCAGAAAACGTACTGATATTTGAAAGAACATTCAAAATTTTTTGACATATCAATATTTCCAAGCGCTGATGCATCTACCTGAATTCTTTTACCTTTGGTTTTGACCTTACGCTCCTTTATTCTTTTCCGAAGAACCCAGCCGATGATTAAAGCCAGTCCAAAAAGCGTTCAAGGTATTCTCACCTTTAGGTAATGTCTACATTTAAGATTTTGATCACGCAAATTAATTAATTAATTCACCTGCGTCAAAAGGATCGTGAAAGTTCATTTGAGACGGTAAAGAACTTCAACGTAGAATTAGCCTTAAACGCCCTAGTACATGTTTAGACTATTAAATCCCCTCAATTTCAAATGTCAAACCCATAGCGTATAGCGTCACGTAAGTCGCATTCATAAATCCTGTGTATATTTGATGTATACCCTATGGAATTGACACTTGAGAACGAGTGGATTTCGCACATTTAAACACATAATAAAACCAGTGGAAATTCACTGAATTTAAGTGTCGATTTGACATTTGACGTTTACGTAATGGAGTTGACAGTTAAAACCCATTTGATTTAGTAAGTCTAGACCATGATAGAAAAGTACAGTAGCATCGACACAGCTGCTGGGACAATTGTCAAATCAATTTTGGAATTGAAAATTTTGAATGAAAAAATATTCAATTTTATAAAAATTGTAAAAAAATGCATATCTTAATAACCTCTGATAGGCGTCGTAAAAGAAAACATATGAAAATCGACCTATTTTTAAAAAAAATCATAAAAAATTGACACATCCACGCTTGGGAATATTGACATGTCAAAAATTTTTAAAAGTTTTTTCCAAATATAAGTAAATTTTTGTATGTTTTATTGTACGATATCAATCGGCGGTTTAGATTATAATATGTATTTCCCAACATTTTTTAAAAACTTGAATAATTTTTCATTCAAAAATTTCAATTCCGAAATTGGTTTGACAGTTCATTGTGCCAGCAGCTGTGTCGATGCGACTATGGCAATGATGGCATTTAGTGCCTACTTTTTTTGACATGGCAATGATGTTGTGTCAAAACCGAGTAGCTATGACACTCTTTTTGACCAGATACCCTAAATTATTATTTTAGTTTTTATTTTTTGCGTGTTTTTTTTAGATTTTTTAATTTAATAAATTATTGTAGTCAATTTGCTGTTGAGAAAAATATGATTAAAATAAAAAGTTTAAAATGACGATTAGAAATTTTCTTACAGATCCAAAAGTACCTTGACATATCAAACTCTGCCCGGGTTAACCCTTATAATTTTGAGTAGACCTATGGTAGAAGAATACAGGTAAATGCATCAACGCTTGGGAGCATTGATATGTCAAAAAAAATTAAATGTTTCTTCAAATATGAGTACATTTTTATATGTTTTCTTATACTACATCATTCGGAGGCTATTATAATTCGCCTTTTTCAACAATTTTTACAAATGTAAATAATTTTTCATTCAACATTTTCAATTCCAAAATTGGTTTGACAGTTCATTGTCCCAGCAGCTGTGTCGACGCGTCTACCTAAATTCTTCTCTTCTTCTTCTCAACAACCTCCGAATGATGACTTACTTATAAAAATCTACATATTTTTTAATAAACATTTTAAAATGTTTGACATATCAATGTTCGCAAGCGTTAATGCATCTCCCTGCATTCTTCTACCATGGTGGTTCAACGGACATTGGCAAAGACCTAAAATGGTAAAGACTAGGCCTAAAATGGTAAAGATTAGACAAAATGCATTCTGAGTAGATGGTTTGTGTTTATACTATCTAGAATAACAGCTCATGACAGGAACATGTTAATATAAAAACCACATTTATAGAAAAAATGACAAATAAAAGATTGAAAAATCCAAAAATAGGATTTCAAAATTCTATTCCATAGACTTTCCCAATTAATTACATATTTCGTAAGCGGTTTAAACCGCTTAACATTGCTAACTATGTTGTTACGATATCACATGGTAGAAGAATATAGGTAGATGCATCGACGCAGCTGCTGGGACAATGAACTGTCAAACAAATTTTGGAATTGAAAATGTTGAATGAAAAATTATTTAAATTTGTAAAAAGTGTTGAAAAATGCATGTCTTTACAACCCACGATTTGTGTCGTATAAGGAAACATACAAAAATCTACTTATATTTGACATATCAATGCTCCCAAGCGTTGATGCATCTACCTGTATTTTTCTACCATGCGATATCATAACAACAGAGGTATTTTCACAGGGTTGCCATATTTTGACTCTGCCTCGTCCTATCTTTACACTTCTATGTCTTTGACATTAACCAGATTAGGGCTACGTAGGTCGACTTTCGACTGATTAACTTTTGGCGTTAAAAACGAAAACAACTTTTGCCAGTTGTCATAATCGTAAAATCCACTCATTGCAATCGATTTTTGATTTAGAGATTTTTAGATTTAGATTTTTATCGACTTTTTATTCGATCCAAATAATATGCAATTATTCTCTTGGTTTTAGTTCTAGTATTTATTTCTTAATAATGAACATCAAAATGTCGACATTGACCAAAAATGCACATCAAAAATTTTTAACAACCGTTATTTTGTGTTTAAATTGTCGTTAACTAGTTGGAAAATCGTACTATAGACATACCAGTGCTAGTTGAATGCCGTCCTTTAAGTTCACCCGTGGTGGAAGAATACAGGTAATCGCATCGACACAGCTGATGGGACAATGAACTGTCAAACCAATTTCGAAATTGGAATTTTTGATTGAAATAATATTCAAATTTGTAAATTTAAAAAAAAAAACGCATATTAATAACCTTCGATTGACGTCGTATAAGAAAACATATAAAAATTTACTTATATATGAAAAACATTTGAAATTTTTTGACATATCAATGTTCTCCAGTGTTGATGCATCTACCTGTATTCTTCTACCATGAGTTAACCCCAATGCATTGTCTGAATTTTCATTCACACGTATTTCAATTTGTAAGAATATTTCATCGTCATTTCTTAAATTAAAAAAAACAACAATTTTTAAAAATAATATAAGATGACAACGAACTGATGAACAATTTGTCATTATATATCAATCTAATATGTATTTACAAACTTACAAACAAACAACAAAATTACACATATGTATATGTCTTCTAGAAGATCTCTTCTCTGATGTTAAATACAAAAAAATATATATTCATGTATGCACTCATCAAGTCTAATTCTTTTTTTTTAATTCAAAAACTTCTAAAAGTTGGTATAAAAAATATTACAACTTTTATGGGCTTTTATTGTTTTTTTCTATCATTTTTTTTAAATAATTTATTTCGTATATTTCTTTTTAATGGTTAGTTTTAAACTAGGTAACAAAAATTATATTCACTTATTTGTTTTTAATCTTAGCTACATTTCAGAAATCTTATTTTTCATATTTTGTTTAACACTAACTTTAGTTTTCAAAGAAGTAGGGGGCGGGATCTACAAACAAAAGTACGTACAAATAGATAGAAATATTCATTTTACAATAAACTGTTACCGGCATAAAAAGGGCGGAAATGGTAAAGAGAAGTCATTATGAAAATAATTTTTACAATCACCAAAGTATTAAACGACGAAAGCTTAGAAAAAATTAAATCAAAATTGCAAGTTTTATATTGAAAACTACTCAATTGTTGTCTGACAAAAAATTGAAGTTTTAGACATGTTTAGATTGGTCACAAAACTGCTTATTTTAACTCAGCTGATCAGATTTGAATTGTTTCCCAGAAAGTATTCACAAACTCTCAGTAAGTCGTCAAATTTTCCTCTGTATTGGGATTTCCTAACACATTTTTTGAGTTACCGACAATAACTTCCGATTAAATTATATTTTTACGACGAAAAATAGGGATCTCGTGATCGATAAAGAACATATGTACCATGGTAGAAGAATACAGGTAGTCGCATCGACACATCTGCTGGGACAATGAACTGTCAAATCAAATAAATTGAAATTTTGAAAGATTTTTTTTTTTGAGAACGGTAGGAGCGAACAATTCCTTCTGCAAAAAATAGCAATTAGAGAGAAAGAAATGTTGACAGTGATTTTAATTCCGTAGTGATTTTAATTCCGTATTTATACCCTACAACACTATCAGCCAGTTCCACGATATCGAAAGAACACGTTCGCACAACTTTTACACGACAAACAGCTGATTTCCGTTCCACTAAAATCCATCAGAACGAAAATTTGCACGAAAATCAAAGCGAACGAAAACGTAAGCGTTTCAGTGTAATTTTGCGTTCCACTATCTTTTTTCTTTCGTACGCATGCGAACACAAATGTCAAAATCAGTCACTTGTGTGTTTGCTATCGTATAATAACAATTAAGGAAAATGGTTTTAACATAAACATTGCTTGATTGAAAATGGAAACAAAAATGTAAGTAAAAATAATAAATGCAATTTAATATGTGAACAACAAATATATATTTTTTTATTTTCTCAATTCCAGCACGAAAAAATCATCAACTACACAGCTGCGGGCACTAGTATATGGAGGAGAATCCTGGGTTCGCCAGAGGAGTGCCAATTTTTGGAAGCAGCAGAAGAAGTTTTAAATCGGGGCGGATTTGGGTAGTTCTGCAACCGGGCACCCACTTCTCTTCCATCATATCCAAAAGAGCCCGAAAACTTCCTTCGACACACGAAAATTGGCCACAAACCTTGAAAAAATTATTATTATTATTTTTTATTATTTCAAAAATGTAAAAATACAATCATACTTACTGGTTGTTAGGTACTTCAAATAAATTCGAAGCATCTCTTAAATGCCTCCGTGGCACATTTTGAACCTCCTCCACATCATCCATAAAAAATAGGGCTACGGAAATATTCTTTTTTTATTTTCTAAGAGCACAAATAGTTTGAACACAATCACTAGAATTTTTATTTTGTTTGTTTATTTACAATTTGTTTGTTTACAACTGAAATGTCAGTTGAGACAGAGCCACTGCTGCTTTTTCGCGTTTAAATTAGACATTTGGCGCTTTTTTGCCTTATTTCGCGATTAATTTTTCCAAAAAAAATATTTAGCAACACTGAATCACGTAAGGCTATGCGAAAGAAAGAACAAAAGTTAGTGGAACGCATTCTTATACGAAAGTGAGTGAGTAGCCTTCGTTCGCACAAATTTTCTTTCGAGATCGTGGAACAGGCTGTATGTGTTGGGGGTATTATAAGTTTGATTGGGCCAAAAATTATGTAACACCTCGAAATATTGGTTTCCCATATAGGAAAGTATATATGGATCTTCCTAGCTCGCCGAGCTGAGTCGATCTAGCTATGTATGTCCGTCCGTCCGTCTGTCCATGTTAATTTGTAATCACTCTACAGGTCGCAATTATGGCCCGATCCTTACGAAATTTTGCACGAAGGTGGGGTTAGGGTCAGAATAGACGCCTATTGCTTTTGGAGATGATCGCCAAATGTTTAGGGGTTGAAATGGACCCAATACTGAAAAAATGTCGGATTTTGCAGTAGCTATACAAGTCGAAATTATAGACCAATCGAGGCGGAATTTCGCATGTAGCTGGAGTTTAAGGCGAGGAAGAAGCCTACCAATTTGGGTGGTCATCGGATAATATTTATCGGGTAAAATAGACCATATCTTTTGTGTTGAAAAAATTCAAAATTTTTCATTAAACTGCGAATATTTTAAATCCCGGCGAAATCACAAAGCCATGTCAAGGTTACTTCTGATCTTTACATTGATGTTAACATCCATCAAATCGGATATATAGCAAAATATGTGCGATATATATGTCTATCAAAGAAGATATGCTTGAAAGATATCTTATATGTCGAGAACGGCTGAACTGATTTCGACAGTTTTCAGTAATTCAAAATGGCCTCTTGGCAGGAAAGAAAAAACGTCTAAAAAATTGCATAAAAATATCTCTCTCTAATTATGAAAATATTGATTTTCTAACATTTTCTCATATTTTTTCAATTTTGTCATATTTTTGGCATATTTTCATTTTGAATTAAACATTTATTAATATTTCTACAGCTAACAAAACTAAGTAGTTAGGATATCAGGATATCATATACAGATCGCATTTATGGCCCGATCCTTATGAAATTTTGCATGGGGATAAGATGAGGGTCAGAATAGAATCCTACTCTTTTTGGAGATAATCGCCATATATTAAGGGGTTGAAATGGACAAAAAAACTGCATAATTGTCAGCAAGTCGTAATTATCGCCCGATCCTCACGCGAATTTGAATGGATGTTACCGGACATTGCAAAAGCCAAATAGTTTTGGATGACCATCCAAAAATATTCAATGTGTGAAATAGTTTGCCAACTTTTGTAGACAAAATACGAAAATATCCATTCCAGTGAATTTTTGGAGAATTAACAAATACAGGAAAGACGCACTTCTGACTATTTCATTAAGGCTGATTTCGTTGAAGAATATAGTCAAATGTCTGTATCTCATATAGATGGGTTTTAGTCAAAAACCAATAATAAATGTTAACCTTTTGCCACTTCTGAGAGATTATAGGTCTTTGGGAAATATTGGTTCCAGATCTAGAAAGACCATTCACGTGCAAAATCTGCCAATAAATTGGGAATGAGCCAATTAGTTTATGTTGCTATTATTCGAAAATTAGAGAACGAAACCTGATGGTTTTCATTTATTATTTGTCACAATATCTTGTGGAATTCTTTCGAGTATCTCGTCTACATAAACTGTAACATTTATTATAGTGTTGTAGGGTATTCAACGGTCGGCCCCGCTCGACTGTAGCCTTTGCTTACTTGTTTGCTTCTTCAAATAACGAACAACGCATTTTTCGGTTTAAAACCACTTTTGTTTTTGCAAATGAAATAGTATTTTTATGGAAACTGATAACTTTAAAACACTTTTAAGTAATAAAAATGTTTTTTTTTTTTTGCATTTTTTATCTTTTATTTAAAATAAATAGAAAATTTTAATGGTTTCTCAATTGACGAAGCCAATTGTTAACAAAGTGTTGCCACATCAATGTTCAAAGATTTTATGGAGAGAGCATCTCTTAAATTCCTTCGGCGTATTCTTCCGTATTGCGTTCATTACCTTGCGCCTCTATTACAGAAATCATCGAAACTCCCGACATTGCTTAAAAATTATCAAAATGAACTTTCTTTTTTCGCACAAATCATGTGTTTTGTTTTGATTTCTCATTCATTCGTCCTGTTACCATATCGAATATGTAATGTTACCATATTTACACTTAACTCGAAGTTCACCAAAACATACGAAATTTGAAGAAGCTAAAACAAAACCGAAAGATTTTGAATTACGGAATTCAACACATTGCGATACGATTTTGCGACACGCCTTTTAATTTACACTTAGTGACTTAATTATTCTCATTATAAATGCATGAAATTAAACTGAATTCATACGACATTATACAAAATTTAATATGGCAACGCTGCAGTCAGCTGTTGACTATTGTTTACGTTTGTGAATATCAGGTAGGTAATTTCATTTCAATCGCATTGCGTATCCCTAATCGAAACGGTTGCCGACTCACAATCGGGAAAACACCGTAATAGAAAACTACAAAATGGTGAAAGGAACTCCGTTTTAAAATAGGAAAAAGTATTTTAAAATTCAGAAAAATTAAATAAACACGTGCCATTTGAAGAAATGCAGATGCTGAAATGCGCATTAACTCTGTCCAAGGTTATTACCATGGTAGAAGAATACAGGTAGACACATCGACACAGTTGAACTGTCAAACTAATTTTGAAATTGAAAATTTTAAATGAAAAATTGTTCAAATTGTTGAAAACGTTTGACGCTTTATAAGAAAATTTATAAAAATCAACTTATGTTTGAAAAAAGTAACATTATTAAACTTTTGACATATCAATGTTCCTAAGCATTGTTGCACTTACCTGTATTCTTCTACCATGGTTATTATTCTCTCACCAAGAAGTTTATGGACAATTTCAGCAGGAAGAGTTAACAAACAGACCTAAAATAGCAATGTCAAATCCCAGGACAAGACATAAAATACTCATAATTGTCAGGTTACTTTTACGACAGCATTTGTCGATCACCTTCTTTCTGAGAGTGTAAGCCAGCTTTGCTCTCTTTTTCAAGAATACTGTCCCTGAGAAACTATCAAGCAATCAGCTGATTGTCAAAATAAAACAATTTGTCCGCCATTAAAAGAAATAGAAAAGCAGACACAACGAATGTCATTTAAAACAAAACAAATGTGTAGAGTCGACTGGTTAAATAAATAACAGCCTGTTTCACGATATCGAAAGAACACGTTCGCACACCTTATACACGACAAACAGCTGATTTCTGTCCCACTAAAATCTATCAGAACGAAAAATCATTCGATCAAATCAAAGCGAACGAAAACGTAAGCACATGGTAGAAGAATATAGGTAAACGCATCGACACAGCTGCAGGAACAATGAACTGTCAAACCAATCATGGAATGGATAATGTTAAATGTAAACTTATTTGAATTTGTAAAACTTGTTGAAAACCGCGTATTAAAATGAACTCTGATTGACGTCGTGCAAGAAAACATATAAAAATCTACTTATATTTGAAAAGATATTGAAAATTTTTCACATATCAATGTTCCCAAGCGTTGATGTTTCTACCTGTATTCTTCTACCATGCGTAAGCATTTTAGTGTAATTTTGCATTCCACTATATTTTTTCTTTCTCACGCATGCGAATACAAATGTCAAAATAAGTCACTTGTGTGTTTGCTGTCATCTGATTATAATTCAGGAGAATTGTTTCAACATAAATATGGCTATGACTGAAAATGTAAACAAAAAGAAGAGTAAAAATAATAAATAAAATTATAATATGTCGACAACAAATAAAATTTTTATTTCTTTAATTCCAGCATGAAAAAATCATCTACTACACAGCTGTGGGCACTAGTTAATTATATGGAGGAGAATCCTGAGTTCGCCAGAGGGGTGCCTATATATACATAGACAAACCCTTGAAGAAGACCACTGGAAAAAAAATATGTTTTACGTTACATACCATGGGTCCTTCTTTTTGCACAATTGCAGGTTGGAAAAAGGTAACAGTACGTTTACATATAAAAGGGTTAACCCACTGGATTTGGATTTAAATTGTCATATCCATTACTTATACTTCAAATAAATCCTTTTAAAGTAGGTTAACCCTACAAAAAGTTCTAACGTAAACATGGCATAAGTCAGAAAACTCGACTTGCGATATATTTTTCTGACCGGCATTATTATTTACAGACTTGGGTTGATCTAAAGTCCCGCACAAAAAAGAAAATGGCGGAAAATAAAAAAGGGATGCAAGAAAGAGGTGACGGTTTATGCCGAGTTGAGTGTCTGACGGAGCTAGAAACAACAAACTAATTCGAAGCATTTCTTAAATGAAGCTCCTCGACGTCATCTATAAAATACAGCTCAACAGAAATATTCATTTTTTAAAACACAAGTAAATTGAACACAATCACTGGGAAACTCGGAATATTATTTTCTTTGTTTATTTACAATTTCTTTGTTTACAACAGAACTGTCACTTCAGAGAGAGTCAGCTGATGTATGGTTGTATTTTTACGGCTTTTTGGCGTTTAAATCTGTCATTTTGGCGCTTTTTTCGTTTAGTTTCGCGATTAATTTTTCAAAATTATATTTAGCAACACTGGGTCACGTAATGCTATGCGAAAGAACGAACGAATGTTAGTGGAACGCATTCTGATACGAAATTGAGTGACTAGTTTTCGTTCGCACTACTTTTCTTTCGATATCGTGGAACAGGCTGTAAGTATCCAGAATTCTTGAAGCAAGTTTTGTATATATTTGGAACGAATGACGTCGAATACTTAAAATTTTAAAAAAATAACATTTCCACATTCCACCCTATTATACTACTATTCTGAAACTTCATTCATATTAGATGCTTGATCAGTTTTATCTCTTGTCTTTTAAAAAATAATTTCTATTTTTCGTTTTTGTTTTGAATATTTTTTAAGCCTTTTTTGGGTTTTTGAAATTGTTTCTTTTTTGTATCTTATAGAGGATAATACTTTCAAATAGGGGGATATTCTCAGACCAGGGGGTGGGGTAGGTTTACTTAGCATTTACATATAAATATTTACTCAGTATGAGCGTATGTTTGTGTATGTGTATATATATAGTTCATGTTTAAAGCGCTTCTGTTGATGAACTGCAGGGTCCTATATAAGCAGCAGCATTAGCCATATCTGTTGAGGCAGCAGCAGCAGCAGTAGGAGCGGGCCCGGCACTGATAGCTTTACCAGTTGCCGTTATATTATGTGTTGTTGTACTTGTTTGTTTGGGACTTGCACCCGTTGACTGGGAGCCGGTAGCAGCATTTTTTATAGCACTTATGGTTGCCGATGCCACCGATTCGGGACATGCGGTTTTTGTGGTTGTTTGTTGTGGTTCCATTGTGGGGGGATACTGAGAAAGAAAGGGGAATGTTAACGTCTTTTTTAGGAAAATATTTTAAAGGTGAGATAACATAAAAAACTTTTTTGACTAGCTTAAGGGTGAGAGGACATAAAAGGTTTTTTTTGACTGATGGGTGGTTTCTTCGGAAAAAAGAAGCGTAGGGCCAAAGTCGAACTTAGGCTACCTCATTCGTTCCTCTACGAATAGGTCAGCCGATGACTTAAGTCGAGAATACATAAAAGGGTTTTTTGACTGGCTTAAGACATCGGCTGGCCTCTTCGTAGGGAAACCAAGGAGTTTTAGGTTGCCTTAGTTCGATTTTGGCCTTACGCTCCTTTGTTATTTTCCGAAGAAGCCAGCCAATGACTTAAGCCAATTAAAAAAAACTTTTTATGTATTCTCACTTTAATTCATCGGCTGGCATCTTCCATTTTAGGTTGTCTTAGTTCGATTTTGCCCCTACGCCCCTTTGTCATTTTCCGAAGAAGCCAGCCAATGACTTAAGCCAGTCAAAAAATGCTTTTTATGTATTCTCACCTTAAGTCATCGGTTAGCCTCTTCCGTTTTAGGTTGACTCAGTTCGATTTTGGCCTTACGCTCCTTTGTTATTTTCCGAAGAAGCCAGCCAATGACTTAAGCCAGTCAAAAAAAGCCTTTTATTTATTCTCACCTTAAGTCATCGGCTGGCCTCTTCCGTTTTAGGTTGGCTTATTTCGATTTTGGCCCTACGTTCCTTTGTTATTTTCCGAAGAAGCCAGACAATGACTTAAGCCAGTCAAAAAAAGCCTTTTATGTATTCTCACCTTAAGTCATCGGCTGGCCTCTTCCGTTTTAGGTTGCCTTAGTTCGATTTTGACCCTACGCTCCTTTTTTCCGCAGAAGCCAGCCGATGACTTAAGTGAGGGTACATAATCATGGCTAGGCATATTAATGTCGAATTATAAAGGCAGAACGACGGCAGAATTCGAGTGCTGCTCTGACCTCCCTTCACGATAAACTTCAAGCTGTTTATGTACTCTCACCTTTAGGCCAGCGCAAAAAGCGTTTAGTATATTCTCACCTTAAGAAGTGTTTTTTTTTTCCTTTAGAACTCACCTCTGAATTTTCATCCACAGCCGGCAACAGTTCATCCGTCGAGTTGGGCGTCATGGGACTGGGGGTGGCCATTGTAATGCGATTCAGGGCCACACCATGCTGTTGCATTGTCATGGCCGTATCGCCAATTATGATTTGGGGTTTATATTGGCCCAATTGTTGTTGTTGTTGCTGCTGTTGCAATCGGGCCAAACGTAATTTCATCTCATGACGTATTTCCTTCTGTTGTTGTTCCTTTTCGAAACGCATCATGCTATAACTGCGAACGGACGAACTTGTACTATGGACAGACGCTAGACTTGGTCTTCGAGAACCTGTTTTGGTGGTTATGGTCACATTTGCAGAGAGAGAAAGAGAGAGAGGACAAAAGAAAAACAATGGAAAAATTAAAATTTTCGATACATTTCAGGGGTCTTAAGGTTCGGGGGAGTTTTTTCACTACTTTATAAAAAAGCGTTTAGTTTTTTTTTACAAATATTTAAGCAATAATTGAAATAAAATTTTGCAAAAATATTATTGTTTTGGGAAAAAAATATTTATTCTTTGTTGTTTTTTTGGGTTGGGTGGGAACTTGTAAATATTTGGTGGGAGGTATTGGTTTTGAGTTGTGGTTGGTTGTTTTGTTGGGGTAGACGGAAATTTCGGAAGTTTGTTTTTGGACTTTCGAAAGCAGCAATCAAGCTAAGATTAAGACAAAAAATATAGAAATAAACAAGGCTTTGACAAATGTTATATTACAAGGTCCGAGACAAAAGTGTAACAGGGGGGAAGAAATGGGGGGAAAAGCTATTTTTCAAATTCATATTCCATCTTTAGGCCAATTTCCAAATTCGAAATCAAAAAAAAAATTTTTTTTTTGAACAAGCATTTCATAATTTTTTTTTTTTGGAAATTTTTTATATCATTCTGGGATGCATTAGCTTAAAAAAATGCCGAAAGAAGCCAACAAAAGCTTAGAATAAAATTTAGATATTTTTTATTTTTTTGGAAGATAAAAAAAAGAAATTTTGAAAAATAAATTGTTTAAGAAAGTGTTGTTATAAATGTGGGGGGGAAAAGTTACAGAATAAACAAGTTTTACAATAATTGGTGTATAGGTATGTGTGTATGTAACTTTAATGAGAAAAATTTTAAATATTTTTATTTGTTATTATTTAAAAAAATTGGGATTTCAAAAAACTTTTTTAAATACATGCTTTTAACAAACGTAAGCTGGGCTAATGGTCCAGAAACCAATGGAGCTGTCGGATTGTAATATAATCTATTATTATTAGATTTTTGGTTACGGTGTCAAGGGGTACGTGGATATTTTTCAAGAACCCTTAATCGAATTTAAAACAAATGGAGAAGTTAAACCAGCCTAAGGAAATGGAGGGCATGAGCAGTAAAATATAACTTGACATTGAAAAACAAATCCATGATGCCTATCGCTTTATATGTCTTCACTTTTGCAATCTGACGAACTTCTTCCCAGATAGTATAATACCCAAGAAAGACAGAAACCTTAAATTAATTCGTACATTATCTTCATTGTTTATACACGAAAAGAAACTGAATTTAAGCTGCATTAAACAAATATCATATGGCAACTCTGCCGAAAATCGATCAGCTGTTAAACAAACACAACAAACAACGCAACAAGAAAGGTAATCCATTGGGTCTACACAAATTGATATTAAGTGAAATAAACTAAAGGTGGGAATACATAAAGCGCTTATTTGGCTGGCTTCTTCTGTAGAGGAACAAAGGAGTTTTGGGTTGACCTAGTTCGATTTTGGCATTGGGGTTCCTTTGTTCATAACCGAAGACACCAGACGATGACTTAAGCCAGTCAAGAAAGCGCTTTATGTATTCCCTCCTTAAAAACTAGACTTTCGGCTCCTAAGTCTGTCATCGAATAAAGGCAACAGGAAGAAAAACCAAAAACCGCCACCAGTGAGCCACTGTGCTAATCATAAAGGTGGCGCAAAAATAAACTTCCGATGTTTTTTTGGCCGTAATTTAAAAAAAGAGCTAGAGCTTACGATCTCGTCACTTGGATAAAAATTATTTTTTGTCATAGAAGTTATTTTTAAAATAACTTCTGGGGAGAATATCCCAGACAAAAAAACAAGGGAACTGATGAGGATTGGTGGCTCTTTCCGAAACCTAGGTATTCCCGGACTATACTTAGGTGTTAGCCTGACCATTTTGCAATAACAAAAAATAGAAAAATTATTTTTTTTGGTTCTTCTTTTGGATTATTTTTATTTGGTCTTTTACTTTTTTTTTAAATCAAATCGAGAATAGGATGTCAATGAAAATGGTCGCCAAAATAGTTTTGTTGTCATTAGTGCCCTTTTTATGGCATTTTCTTGTCTTGTCCTCTTACCTTCCCTGGCAAGAGATGCCAACCTGTTTGATGGTCTAAGGACCTCGCTAATCTTATGAAAGTAAGTAGACGCTTATAAAATAGGGTCGCCAATATCAAACTGAGTACGGACTGAGAGACTTATAAATCTGTTTTCAACAGGTACAACAGTGAGATCAAGAAGGACAAAAGATTATCATGGTTGAGCTTTACTGAGTCTATAGAATGTGTCAATGAAACTTCCAAAGCTTCCTTAAAGTTCTTTAAAAGGACCTCAAATCCTGTGGATGTATAAAACGAAAAGATGTATGCTGGACTGACTCTGGTCTAGAGATTCTCAATCTTTTAGCCAGTACTCACTTTCCGAACTGCGCAGATGCGAGAAATGATCGATTGACAGAGCGACATAATCAGTAATGTGAGGCAGGGGAGGCGTTATTCCCGCCATGTTAAAGCATACATCGACGGATACCACACTGGAAGTGATTTTTTAGGCTTGTCTGCGTCTTTCTCACATTCCATCACTGTGGAGGTAAGTTACAGTAATTTATATTCCCAAGGCAGGGAAGCCAAGTCATGCACTTACAAAGGACTACATGCCTCTCAGTCTTTCTTTCAGTCCCCTTTCTATTTAAAACTCTGAAGATTCTTAAAGATATTGAGATCAGATCTCTACTATCCTTGACTTCGCTAAGCACTGCTCAACATGCCAACATGGAAGAACCTGACTGGCTCGTGCTTCAATTTGGCAACCTTTCTTGACATAGAAGGGGCCTTCAACTATGTCACACTTGAGGCAATTAGTGGTTGCCTTTACCACCACACCTAATTGAATGGATTGATGTTATGCTCAGTAGCAGAATCATCAACTCAAGCATCGGGGAGTGCTCTGTCAGGAAATCGGTTACTTAGGCACCCCACAAGGAGGGATTTAATCGCCACTGCTCTGGCTTCTGGTGATAAACGATATACTAAAAGTCCTGGAGCAAGACGGAACAAAAGTAGTGGCTTATGCTGACGATTCAGTTCTGCTGATTGCGGGTAAATTCCTGCAACTGTTTCAGATCTCATGCACGGAGTTCTTGTTAAACTTTCTAAACGGGCCCGATGCAACGGGCTAGGCGTGAACCGATCTAAAACTGAGCTCGTACTTTTTACAAGGAAGCGGAAAATCTCAACACGCTGATCAAAACGTAGATATACTCTTATAAATTTCTTCTCTCCATCTCCTAACTTCTTCCTTCTTCTCAATTTTCTTACTTCTCCTTCTTTCCTTTTTAAAAATTGTTCCTTCAAATAGGATAAACACAATGGACCAGCAGGTCACCGATTGGAGTGGTTGTCAAAACAACGACGCATCGTTTAACCCAACATAACCATGGCATTTTCCATCACTTTTGCCAAAACAGCCGGGAGGATGATAGGTCCTCACATTCTTGACGGATATTGCCTTTAAGAGCTGAAAAAGTATGAGGCTTGTTGACGCAAACCCGAAACTTCAAAAAGCTCCACAAAAAGAAGTCTGGAGCAGTCAAATCAGTCGATCTTGCTGACCAGAGCAAATGAGTCAAAACGAGAGATTAGGCGCCCGGGAAATGCACTCTTCAGTATTTGGCACGTGAAGTGAGTGCCGTTATACAGTCTTGTTGGAACCACATGTTTTCTAATCCCAACTCATCAAGTTGCGGCCAAAAGAAGTCGTTGATCAATGCCTCATAGTAACCGTAACCGTTTGGCCCGCGACGTCTTCGAAGAAAAAAAGTCAGATGACCCCTCCAGTTAAAACAGCACACTATACAGTGAATTTGAGAGCGTGTAATGGGCCTCGTCACTCATGATCATTTTTGAGGAAAAATCGTCATCTTCTTCTGGGTGGTGATTAAGGATTGCATAAGCGTATGTTACACGAGATTGACGGTCAGCAGCTAACAGCTGATGCACCCTCTGGACTTTATACGGAAGCATCTTCAAATCGTGTACCAAAATTCGCGGTATAGACGATCGATCGACGGCACTTCAATGTCACAAAATATGCCATTCCATGTTGCCAAGCTGCTCATTAATATGTCATGCACCTCGCTAACTTAAGGTGATAATACATAAAACACTTTGTTGCCAGGCTTAAGTCGTCGACTGGCTTCTTCATAGAGGAACAAAACAGTTTTAAGTAGACATAGTTCGATTTTGGCCCTACTCTCCTTTGTTCTTTTCCCAAGAAGCCATCCAATGACTTAAGCCAGCCAAAAGAGTTTCATGTATACTCACCTTTATGGTCAACACCATCACCCATTTTGGCATTCATTATTAACTAAAGCTGCTATCGAACGATATGTTTTTTCATATGTATTGTCAAAATTGTCCATGTGTAGAAGCTGCACACATCGTGCGCATTAAGTGACAGTACATATGTATATTGTCTGATAGCAGCTTAAGGCATTATCAGACGGAATTGGTTTTACATATGTGCTGTCAATGGCTATGCCAAAAAAAAAGAACGAATGTTAGTGGATCGCATTCTGATCCGAAAGTGAGTGAATAGCTTTCGTTCGCACAAATTTTCTGTCGATATCGTGGAACAGGTTGAAAATGTAGCAGGTTGAAAATGTAGTGTTCGAAGACCGTGGAGAGTCGTTTCGACGCCGTTCACAGCAACTCGGACTGACGTACGGAACGACTCATGGTAAAAGAATACAGGTAGTTGCAATGACACAGCTGCAGGGACAGTGAACTGTCAAAACAATTTTGAATGAAAAAATTTTCAAATTTGTAAAAATTTTTGAAAAATGCATATCATAACAACCTCCGATTGGCGTCGTATAGGAAAACATATACAAAACTACTTATTTTTTAAGAAACATTTAAGATATTTTGACATATCAAAGTTTTTAAGCGTTTATGCATCTACCTGTGTTCTTTTACCATGGATTTTGTGAAAACCCCTAAATTTGACGCATACGTCAAATA